TTCAGCATTGTGCAGATCTAGTTAAGATTTCTTTTTTTTCTTCTAGGTATCTTACATCTATCCACTCTGAAGCTCATTTATCAACTTCTTGCCCACTTAAGTCACTCTAATGAAGTCTTTCAGGAGCTGGTCACTGGTAGTACTGAATTTCACTATCCAAAGGAGCTTGTTGTTAGCTATGATCTCAGAGACTTCAGGGTTCATTATCTTTTATAGGTCATTAAAGACTGGACCAAGCATGGAGAACTCTACTTGTGAATTTTCTTCGTGGTAAAAAATCCATAAAACTCTCTCCTTTGTTTTCTGTGATCTAACTGGCTCTCTGTCCACAAAGAAATTTCTTCAGTCCCATGACACTTCTGTTTCTCTAATAACATTGCAGTGGAATATTATTGGAAGGCTTTTGGAAAACTTACGTATATTCATATTCCCTTTACTTGCATGCTGACAGCTTCACAGAATTAGAGAGAACTAGTCAGACATGATTTCCCATTGAAGAAGCTCTGCTGACTTCTGCAACAATCTTTGTCTGTGTGCTCTGTTAGTCTTTATTTTATCACCTTGTCAGGGATAGCAATCAGCTTTCCCAGTCTGCAGGTCCAGAGTCCCTTTTGCAAATGGCTTTTTTCAGATGAGTGTTTCTAGCTTTACACCAAGGAAAAAAAACTATCTGTGGGTATCTTTAGGTAAGGAAAAAAAAAAAAGTAGTTTTTTAGAATATTCTTTGAATATGCTCAGAAGCCCTGGTTCGTATTAGAGGCTGAGAGCTAGATGTAATCAATAGCTTGGGTTTGAAAATTGCAGCTTAGCTGTGATTTTTACAAAAAGCATTACTTCAAGAAATGAAAATTTAACTAATAAAAAATTTATCTCTCCTGTGTTGTTTACTTTGGTTGGAAGCCTGCTGATACCTTGTCCTCTTTCCATTTTTCATGAGAAAGGATCAGTCTTTCCAATCAGAGATTACAGACACAGGGATCCATAAATGAGGGATGTCATGGTCTTGCAGTGATGTAATACATGGCAGCTCATTTGTATAAGCACTCATTTTTATCACTACAGTCTTGGAGCACCACAATACTAAAAATAGTATTGAAGTGGTGGAAATGCTGTAATCATTGACATTTTTTAATTTCCGACATAGCTGAGCAAGAGGCTGGAGAGGTTTCAGTCAACACTTCATCCTCTATTCTGTAATCCAATCAATTATTCTTCAATGACATTTTTTGCACGTGGTGTGTTGGTGACAATGTGGAAGTAGACTGAGCCACAGGTTTAGACTACGTAGTTAAATTTTAGCAAATGTACATATTCTCAAAAATTATTTACCTAAGTAAATCATTTTTGTTGTCAGATGTTAAATGAAACAGGGTATCTATAAAATATTAATAGAAAAGTTACAAATTTTAACTTTATGCAAACCTTCAGAAACACTTTTGCCTATAAACTCTATTAGTTGATAGAGTTTAAAATTTTATCTAGTTCTGTGTTTTCTGCAGCGATTTAGAGAATGTTATAATTACTTTTATTAAAAAGGTGTCTTTGAAATCTGATATAAACTGCTACAGAAGAAACATTAAGAAAACTTACAGTGAAGGATTGCATTATGCACCCTGTGAACAATTATACTGGATATTGCATATTAGTACCAGTGCATTTTTTTTTTTTTCAGCTAATGAAATATATCATGGTATCTTAGACTGAAAAATACCATTATGTTCTGTACAGGATATTAAAATGTTCATTGGTAGATTACTAGCAAGCCCAAATAATCAATTTCCTATATTAATTTAGGTAAATTGTTTGTGTAAAGATTACTTTAATGATATATATATCCAATTCACCGCTTAAAATGATTTAAAAGAGAATTTAAGAGAAAATAACTATGCTGAACACAGATTTATGATGAAATTGTATCTGCATTTGTAATTGTTCTGTTTCAAGTAAATTGTTTTGCATATTGCGCAGAAACTGTGTGTCCTAGGGAGCACAGACTGCCTCCAGAGACAGCGTGCCCAAAAAGGAAACATAAAAGGAAGCTGGATAAAGTGGAGAAAAGCAGTCCTGGCTCCATCTGCTGTCTGGTTTTTCTCTCTCCCTTTTATTTTATTGGCAGTTTCTTTCCTGGGGTATTTGGGGTAGTTAGGCCCCCCTATATTTCTTTGCACACAGATTGATTTTTAACTATACTTCTGCTTTTGCCTGCTGTTGACCCCAACTACTTCATTTTGCATTCCTGAGCACCATTGATAGTTTTGTTCTCTGTTGTTCCTACTGGACATAACTCAGATAAAACAGGAATTTTTTTTTTTTTTTTTGTCACCCTAAGATCAAGTTAATTTTGTGGCCTTCTCTTCTTTTTCATATGTGTTGGTAAATCCTGTAAGGAAGCCCAGCCACAGTTCTAGAAGTGTTACTCATCCTTACACTCAGGCTCACTCGGGCTGTATCAAAGCACAACTGACAGGTCTACTCCAAGTGCTGGCTTTTCATGTCAATCTTTCTCACAGCCTTTGAAAAAGAAAGGACCAAAAAAGCTTTTGTTGGACCAAAGCTGAGGACCTGAGAGTTTGGAGTGTTAAAGATTTTCCATATTCTTTTGTAATAGGTTTAATCTTCAGAATAATTTCTGAGGCTGCACTAATTTGGGCCAAACCCTCAGTTATAGAGACATCTTTTTCTGCCCTAACATCTTTTTTCAGATAAGGAAGAACATGTATAACTTGATTTTCCTTCCAAAATGGTTTTGTTCTTTTGGGATCCCAATAAATATAAATATTTTATTTGAAAGGTGTAATTTACTTGGATGTTCAGTAGATTTCAACAAATTTTTAGAAGTATTTTACAAATGGCAGAATTTTGCAGTCACAAAAGCCTCCTAATTGGAATTAGTCTAAATACTCACATTTGGAAAATGGCTGCAAAATGGAAAGAGCACTTTTGAGTCAATCCTAGAGTTCAAAAATTGTACTGAGCTATGATCCTGAAAAGATGTACATCACTGTTCTTTTAAAACAGAGTTCTATCTCAAATACAGGACCCAATTAAAATTTCCAAATGGGAAGTCTAACTCTAGATTGCAGAAATACTGAAAATACAATGCAGATCCTAAATATGTAGGCAAGGATGCAAATAGCTCTTTAAAAATATTTATCTTTGTATTCTTAGATCTTAAAAATAGCACTGAAAACTCCAGTCATAGCTAAACATCAGAGAAGCTTACTGTGACTGGAACTGATAGGAATTCAAACTTTATTATAGAGAGTCTTTCTAAAATAAATAATTAAAAAAGGATAATTGGTGAAAATAAAGTTTTTTTCAGATAAGGAAGAACATTTGTTCATCCGAATACAAAAATTTCAAATATAATAGCAGATTAGTAATGCTACATGTTCATCACACTACAAAATACTACAATCCATGATTCCTTCTATTTTTGTGACATGAGAGGTAAAACCACTTCTAGGGTGTGTAAGTCTGGTCCCAGCTTAGATAGCAGAATAAAAAAACTTTATATTTGAGTAATTCTGATACTTTAGAAAGTTAAAAAACTCCAAAACACAAAACAAACCAAACCAGATACAGAACTGGGGTCTTTGATAAATGCCTACATTAACATTAAAAGTGAGTTACTTTTCTACAGCTTACTGAAGTAGCATATGCTTCTGGGGGTTTTTTTCAGCCTAGAAACTAATAATTAGACATTCTTTAAACAACTTCCCTTATCAGCAGTAATTAATATACAAGACAAGTAAGATCTCTTTTAAGGAAGTGGTTATTTGCTGAAAAACATACATTTGGTTGTTCCCAAACTGCTTGTGACTATCAGTTCAAGTGTTTCCAGCTGTAATGGAGGAGTTGGAGTGATACAGCTGTGGAATCATCAGCTGCCTTTTACTCAACAGGTCTGCAATTAAGGAGTCCCTTTTGTTGACGTTGTTCCATAGGGACTGCTGAATGCTTCAGCAGACATAGTTCTTGAGCTAGATAATTTCAGGGAAGAGGAAAACAGCTTAAAAAGTTCAAATTCATTCAGTTCAAAGTACTTCCTCTCCAATCCCAACCACTTACTAAAAAAAGAGTCAGTCCTAGACTTCAAGGTTTTATTTTGTTAAATAATATAAACCGTTATTATTATTATACTAAAAAATAGCATTTTGTGTCCATTTTTAGGAAAGCAGGCCCACACAAAAAAATTTATTACAGTTCATTTTTATGTGTATTTTTTATGTGTCTTGGGGTTTTTAATGTGTCTTGTTATTTTCACTTTTGTTCTTATGTTAGTGTTCTCCCTCATCTGATTCTTCCTCATAAGATTGGGCAAGTCATGTTGGTCATAACCTCGCGGTTAAGGTAACTTAAAATACTGAGACAGTCTTCAAGGATGTGTTGTATCATGCTCAGTTTATTTATTCCCCAAAGTATTTCTGCAAAAATTAGAATTAAAAGCATAGTATTGTAAATAAAGATTAAGAAAGGGTGAGTGGTTCAGCTGCTCATTTTGAGAACATCTTCTCTGGCGTCTTTGTTTTTTAAATTGATATTAAGGGTTTTTTCCTCATAGACTCGATTCAGTTTATTGGTTTATTGGGTCTTTTCCCCTGGACATATTCCATTTCTTTCTGCTGGAGCTGTTCTGTTGAGGCTGAATGTTTTGAAAGCATATTATGTGTCTTTTTTTTTCAGTTTACAGTTCAGCTGCCCTGCATATTAAGGTTATCTTTCAGCATACCACTTCAGCAATATATACCAGTTGTATAATAACATATACTTTGCAGTATACTTTCTTGCAATAAAACCATTTAAAATATTACTGAGTGAAAAGCATAACTAGAAATTCATATGAACAAGTTTCACCTCTGTACTCGAAATACTGTATCTTTTTAAATACTTCTCCTGAAATGTATTGAAAATGCTACAACATACAGAAAAACATAAGCATGAAGCATTGATGCTGTTCTCTTGCAGTTCAGTCACTTTTCTCCTTTGCTCTGTTTCAGACGGTTCGTCATGGTTTTCCTTACCTACCCACTGCCTTAGCTTTTGACCCAGTTCAGAAAATTCTGGCAATTGGAACAAGAACAGGAGCCATACGAATGTATCCTTTCTCATTCAGAATTTGCACCATTTCTGTGTATTTGTAATACAGGGATGGGAATTACCTTCCTCAAGCACTCAGGTAAGGCTACAGTTTTTATGTTCTGCTTATTTTGCTTTATGAGACAGACTGGAAAAAAATGTGCTGTTGAGGAATCAACCAGGTCCCTAAGGGGTTCAAAGAACAATTTCTGATTGCATTTTTACCATATGGTTTTGGCATATATTGGTTAAGATAAAACAAAATTGATCTTTTTCAGCATGAAAAGTAAAAGTGGACAGCAAAGTGGTAATGAGCAAGTTGTGAATGTTGTGCTAGCAATAAATAAATTCATTGCTGCAATGCAGTTAGCCAATGTTAGATTGCAGTTAGATGGCTGTGTCTGAAATTATTTAGACATTTCCAAGTGAATGGTGGGAAATAAGCTATTTCAGGACAGAATTCATCTCTTCCCAGAGGAGAAGGTGAAGCACTATAAAAGTGCCTATTTCTTTTTGTTAATTATAAAGGTACTTCAGTGCCAGCAATTTATATGTTGTTTTTAATACAGTAGGATTTTGAAGTTAGAAGTCTATACAGAATAAATTTAATTACAAGGTAATTAAAATTTGACGACTTAAATTTAAGAAAAAATTAAGATTATTTAAATGTGATGTATTTCAAAATGTTTCTCTACATAATTTTCTTAGTTTGGCATGGTTCCAATGTTTTCCACTTCAGTGAAAATACATATAAAGCAAGGAAAAAAGGAGAAAGACAAGAAGGTTTAAAAGTTACAGAATACAGAACTACTAAACCAATGTTTTTTGCAAACTTTTTGTAGCCAAATAAATTATGGATTTAAAGTAGGGGACAATGCTGTATGAAACAGCAATATAATATTTTCTGGTTCTTTTGCTATCCCTGTTCCCAAGGTAACTGTAAATGTAATGAACCCAAGGCAGGTTACAAAGTAAAGAAAAATCTCCTTGTGGAAAGCAAGCCTGTGCCTCATGTAAGGATACTAAAACTTTGGTGCTTCCATTTTTGGGTACTCTTGGTCTGAACAGTTGCATTTTCGTAAGCCTCCATTTCTGTCTGATCTAGAATCTCTTGCAAGACTCACCTAAACCTCAAGTTATGTGACAAGCTTTGCTTTGATGGTTCTACTCTTTATTTCTTATCTGTGTGAAGTAGATTGAATATATTATGTTCAAATGCAAAGAAGAAAGTGTCCGTGAATTTGTGTACTTCTGGGAAGTGCAAGTCTAGTAGTCATGGTTTCTTCTTCTTTTTAGAGGTATGCAAGGTTAAAAATCTGGGGCTTTGTCCCTGGAAGCTTCATTGATATCTTCAGAGTGAGGGTATTGGGAATTTCATGGTAGAAGTAGGAAGAAGACCTTGAAGAATATTGACTCCTGAGCCCACCTCTTTCTTTCTATCTCAGCAATTTTCTAGGAGCAGTGCTGTCACTGGCTATCTCAACAAATCCCTCCTTTGAGGAAAATTCAGGTACAGAGCCTGAATTAATACAGGTTTATGTAGAATTAATTTAAACCTGCATGTCTCTTGCCACAGGAATGGAACATGAAGTGGAAAAATAGCTATATCCCTGAGCTTATATAAAATTCTCTATATGCTTTCTATAAAAATAGATTATAAAGAGTTAGCAGAAGGGAAAAGAATGTTTTTCACAGTGTCCTTCCTTTTAACATTTCTTCTCCTGTTTGCTAGCGAACTCCTACCTCATTCATGGAAAAATTTCTGTCAGTTCTAGTATCTTAATCAAGCAAGAGCAGCAGGATTACCAGGGAATTTGAGTTTTTCTTTTTTTTTTTTTTTTTTTTTGGAAGATATGTCATAACATAAATGATTCTCAGCTTAGTCACAGAGAGCCTGGTTTGCTTAATTGAGCCCTGGTTTAATGGAAACTGTGCTTTGAAGACAGAGGGTGCCATAAAAAGAATTATTTATTTATTCATTTTAACCGAGGTTTCTCCACTTGGCTGTAAGTTTTGCAGAACATATTACATAAAATACCTACTTGTGGACTAATAAATTTGCAGTGAAACAGGCCCTAAGACTACCCCCAGAACACCACTCATTTAAGCCAGTGTTGTTGCAGATGTTTGTAGTTGTTGAAATCAGGCAATAAAACTCAAGCTAAGATGTAACAGATTAAGTATTACATCTGAAAGCACAATTCATAATGTGGGGTGGTTTTTTAGCAAACTAAGGAAAATACAGGTTTTAGTGGCTCTAAGTGTAAAAATACTTTTTAACAGAACTGCACAATTTCATTCTGCCATGAGTATGTCACATAAGAAAAAGGGAATTCTTTATATACATACATTGTGTTTGGCTGGTGTTTCTAAACAGTATTGTTGGTGGAGTGAAAGGACTTGGCTGCCATCAGAGAAATTCACCCAATTATTTATTTGTTTGTTTACTGGTGGTGCCAAAGGTACCTGGTTTGTATCAGACTCTTCTTAAGGGAACACAAAAGGATGGGAAGACTGAATTTATGTTTAATACTCATGTAATGATGTAGAACAAGTTTTGCTGTGATTAGTCCAAGTCACATGATGGTATTGTTGCCTCCTTGACTTTCTAAAACGTTCACAAAGTATTGGTATTTCTACTGGTCACAAGTTAACAGGTCTCAAAAGACAAGCTGTTTTTTAAGAAAAGGAAGCATGTCCTTCTGTATTGTGAGTTGTCTAACATCAGGCCTTCAGGTGATCATTTCAAGTGATCCAGCAGCAGTACTGAAGCTGACTATGTTAAATTGTCCTGAAATAGAGCGTATTATTCATAAGCTGCCATTAGAATGCAGAGATAAATGGAAGTTCATTTTGGTCAATTTGGCAGTCAATTTGTTTTCTCCTAGATTTCTTTTCAAGGTGCTTAGATGCAACTGCTCTCTCTAGCTTCTGTAGCACTGGGAATTGTTGTTGCTACACTTTACTGATCCTAGCAGTCTCTGTGGGTTTCCCAAGGAAGTTCAAACAACTGCAGGCGTCACCTACAGTGATGGCTGCTGGGTACTGGATCCTCATAGGAGCAGCCCACGGAATCAGACTGCACTGCAAACCATTGATGGAAGAGTATCCCTACTCAGCACAAGCTAACAAAGTCTGCAAATAAAGGGCCAAAACCCCACTCCTGAAACAGTTGCTCTGGCATCTGATCATTCTTTACCTTTGTACTAAAGATAGCAAATTTCATTTCTCCCTTGAGGTCTCTTCTTCCTGTCGGAAGCCTGTTTCCAGCTCTCATACTTGTGATCATTGTTCACATCATTGCTTGATACCACTCTAAGTGGAATGTCCTTGCTTCAGGAAAACACATTCAATTGAAGCTGGGCTATGAAACTGATTTCCTTTTCTTATTGTCTCCATATCCATCTTCTCTAGTCCCAGTGAAGAACCTTCTGACACAATAAAACGAACTGTGCTGTCTGTGGTTGCTGTCAGAGAAGGTTCTATATCACCATACAAGGAGGTGAGAAATTAAGATACTTGGTCAGACTTAAGTATCTTCTTGATTTCAGAGGAAAAGGAGAAGTCTGGGGTTTTTTCACATTCTCAGTCTGAATAAATAGATTAAAATCAGTATTGTTAACAGTGATTATTCCAATAACAGATCTGAAGGAGTGGCATGCTATGCTCAGATTTCACAATGCATATTTCTATATTGTCATTTATTCTGCTGAATTTGTTGTTAAAACTCAATTTAAGTACTTTCTGGAGTCACTGAGTCCTTTCCTTTGGAGTTCTTTTGTTGCATCAAAGCTGTGCTTAGCCATTACAGCTCTCTATTTCAAACATACAGAATACAACATCTACTGGTTTGGGGTTTTTTTAATCAAACTGCTGACTATTTAGTGGTCAACTGCAGTGAGAAATTCTGAAAGAAACTCTTCTCTAGCTATTACCATCTTTGCTTATCATGCAATGAGAGGAAGTTTGTCTTAAATCCAGTGCAAAGAAAACACTGGGTCCAGAATGGCCTTCACACCACCAAAAAATTCACCATCAAACAGGCTTAAATTAGTAATATGTTTTTGTATGTGTTATAGTGTGGTCTGGTACTGTTATTGATACATATTCTTTAGACTTACAGGCTCCATATTGCCATGGATGCAGGTTGTGGGCCATGCAGATCTTCACTTTCAATCTAGTTGCTTAAGGAAAGCTGTAAGGCATCTGCTGCCCATGGAAGGCTTTTCCAGTAGGAATAGCTCTTTGTTATCCATGTTATCAGAAAATACAGTGGCCATTTTATACCTAGGCAAAAAAACCATTATTCTGAGTCACTAACACGTGCCAGTGGAAGCGTTGCTCTATCCCCACCTTTAGCTTAGCTGCAGAGTTCTGATCCTTCCTTTGCTCCAATTCTGCTGCTTGTCAGCTCTATTACTGTGAGCCATCCAATGCACTAACCTGGCAAAATACCAGTTCTTCTGCTGTGCTACTTTTTTTGCCAGATTAGCAAACTGATTTATGTGGTGCTTACTTCCAGTCCTAGTCAGAAGGCTGCATAAAGTGGAAGGAGTGCAGTTGGGACTGGATAGAGAAGGAAATGGGGGAGTAACAAAATTTTGGCACTAAGTAGCAGGTTATTAAATTGGCTTGTCTTTGTGTATGAAATTGCATCTGATAAATTCAGGTATGGCAGATTGTGGCTGTGTATGAAATTTGCTACAAAATATAGAAATAGTCTTTCAATTTTAAGTGGTATAGAAGATATCATCTCACTTATTTTTAGAAAATCTTCATGTAAAGCCGTTTGGAAATCACAAAAATTCTACAGATTCTGCTCAAGGGAGATTCTGCTTTAGGATCATATTTCAAATAACTTTTTCTGGCCTGTTTTATGTACTTCTTCCAAAGCTTTAATAGGAAGAGTGATTTTTGAATGTCAAATAAGGTACAGCAACACTTATTTTAACTGGTGTGTTTTGTGGAGAAACAAACATGGCTTCAGAAAGGCCAATGGCATCCTGGCCTGTGTCAGCA